AACTATTCATGTTTGCCGATGATATAGCTTTTGTTAATACCGAAGAAAACTTTTCAAAATTAATAGAAATTGTCGAAATTGACTTACAGCTTGTATATAACTGGATGGAAAAAAACTTATCATCACTTAATGTAAATAAATCAGTATGCATGCCGATAGTCACAAACCGATCACAGCTTCCAGTTTTAGTGAATTTCATATAACATCAATGTTCCGCAAAAAAAACAAACTGCAATTGTAAACCACTTAAAATGGTACAACAATTTAAATATTTAGGAGTCATTATGGATCAAGAGCTGAAATGGTCTGAGCATATAAAATGTATCAAAAATAAAATCCGGAGATTAACTTCCCTACTTTATAAAATTCGCTTTCTTAAGAAATCAGTTGTACGGCAAATTTATATGGCATTATGTAATCCACTCAAATTATATGGTATAACATGCTGGGGAGGTGCCATCAGAACAGACATAAAATCGGTATATATTGCCCTGAAAATTATTATAAAAGTAGCCTACTCGTTACCACCAACATACCCTTCAATAGATATTTTTAAAAATACTAACATACTATCAATCTATAAATTATACATTAAACAAACACTTATAAAAACAATCCAAATGCAGATACTTAATAATACAGATATAATAGACAGTAGAACAGGTAATAACATAAAATTACCTTATATATTATTACTATCCAGTACAAAAAGTGCTCCCAATTATATGGTCAAAACTATATTCAACAATTTAGGAAATGATGTAAAGAGTCTAATAAAGTATGAATGTGAAAATAAGTCTACTAAAACCAATGTAAAAAATATAATTAACAAAAATCGTATAAAAAATATAATTACTGAAATAGTAAATGACCTAGATGAGAATGTGTGTAAAAATCAATCATTAAAAAGTATCTATGTGTAAATATAAATGATTATCTATTAGTATTGTTTAGTTATATAATTATAAGATAATGTTATTTAGAGAAGTAAAACACATCATTATCAATTGTATATTAAGTAATATGTGTGGGAACTCCGTATACCAGAAACGAACTTGCTCAGTTGGTATACGTATCAGCTCTTATCACTATTATTGTAGTAATTTAACTTTTGTAATTTAACTTTTGTAATTTAATTATTGTATTATTGTATTGAAATAATGATATTGATTTTGCTGAAATAAATAAAATAAATAAATAAATTGTTGTAGTGGGTTACGCATTAATGGTTAGATTTGAAATGTTGGTATTGACATAATATACACATTGATAATATATTGTACAATATTACGGCTTGGAGTTGAATACACACATGAACATACACACTGTATATCGCCAGAAACACAAATACGTACGCCGGGCAGCGCCTTGGCTTTTACCGCAATAATACTGTACAATACATCCTTTTTTTTGCTCATATTTCGGCATTATTCTACAAATATTTTTTCAAAAATGACCAAATCGTTGCCGATCTATTCATACCACAAACGAGGTCCATGAAGTTAGCGGAAAAATGTGAGCACTAATTTCCGCTATACCACCAACAATTAGTGCTGAATTAGTGCTAATCAACGGAACTGTTTTAAAAATTAGTGCTATACCCAGTAAAAAGTTACAGGGGGGCTTACCTTTCTCCGCTAACTTCACGTAGTGGGTTCAACACCAGCACCAAAATCCGCTATAGCACCAAATTTTAGTGCTGAATTAGTGCTATTTGATGGTACCGTTTTCAAAATTAGTGCTATGTTTCCCTTCGAGTTATGAGATTTTCCGCATTTCGTTCCAGCGGGTGCACCTTCGGCACCAAAATCCGTTATAGCACCAACAATTAGTGCTGAATTAGTGCTAATCAACGGAACTGTTTTAAAAATTAGTGCTATACCCAGTAAAAAGTTACAGGGGGGCTTACCTTTCTCCGCTAACTTCACGTAGCGGGTTCAACGCCAGCACCAAAATCCGCTATAGCACCAAATTTTAGTGCTGAATTAGTGCTATTCGATGGTACCATTTTCAAAATTAGTGCTATGTTTCCCTTCGAGTTATGCGATTTTCCGCATTTCGTCCCAGCGGGTGCACCTTTAGCACCAAAATCCACTATAGCACCAAAATTAAGTGATGAATTAGTGCTGATCAACGGAACTGTTTTCAAAATTAGTGCTATGTTTTCCTAAGAGTTATGCGATTTTCCGCATTTCGTCCCAGCGGGTGCACCTTCAGCACCAAAATCCGTTATAGCACCAAAATTTAGTGCTGAATTAGTGCTATTCGATGGTACCGTTTCCAAAATTAGTGCTATGTTTTCCTCCGAGTTATGCGATTTTCCGCATTTCGTCCTAGCGCGTTCAACACCAGCACCAAAATCCGTTAAAGAAATATCTGACCAGCAGAAATTTCCATAGAGTATAAATGTATTAGGACATCTTGTGGAATGTTTTGAAATTATCGGATCAAAATTGGACAAAATATTGAGAAAAATGGGTTAACAATTATTACCCAGCGGTCACCATATATATGAATGTTGTGTTTGTAATCAGTACGTAAAGAAATATCTGTCCAGCAGAAATGTCCATAGAATTTAACAGTACCTATTATTAGGTCTAACTTAAAGAAACTTGAGAAACAAATTTAAAGTGTATCGGACCGATACCGATTTTTTTAAAGAAATCAGTTCAAAACCACACATTCGTTAGTCAAACATAACCTGACAAATGAGTAATGTTTGAAAAGATTTCCAATATGGTATAAATAAGTTGAGCAAGCTATTTAAGTATGGTGCATTCTTACGTGTAATTTGTTTTTATTATATTGACGTACAGAATTCAAACTTTGTGTTGTAAAAAAATAAAAAATAAAAGTTTCTACGTTGATGTTGCGTTGAAAATGTTGTGTGGAAACGTATGTGTAACTTGAGGTCTTGAGCCATTGAATGCACAGACCAGCTGCTGCAGATAGTATTATCATAAATTGTGATAAAACTATGTCTATGTGGCGATCACTGATATTTTATTCGGTAACGTTGGTGTACATGTAGAAGGTTGGCGATAAAAATGGCTTATCATTTTTCGAACAACTATCGGGATCCGGCGATCACTCACCACTTTCACTATTATTTTTATATTATATTGTTAACGCAACAGCGCAGCGACCGACGACCGTCTCGTCATTTGTTCCACCTCCATTAAATACGACCAGGCCCTGCCTGTAAGTTGTCGTCATTCTCTCTCACGTCGTTCTTCTTGCGCCGCCGCGTACTCCACGTTATTCGTACCTACTTTGTATTATTCTCAATACCTTTAAAGGGTGTATTATTAAACTAGGATTAGCCTTTGGCGAATTTCGGAAGTAAATAAGTGTTAATTATTTTCTCCTAGCTACCTTCACGTATCGTTTGCAATATGCCCCAATAACAGTCAAATCTATAATGATAACAGTGGCGATATGCAAGGATAATACTGAACAAAAATATTCCTCCACGGTATAGTCCAAAACAATTACTTTCTCTCTCAGTTATGTTGTCTGGGTGAACCAATGGCAGGGAGAAATTGGAGCCACTGTCCATTTATTTACAAGTCTATGATTTTAACTCATCAAAATATTTTGTAATAATACAGAATGTCAATTGAGGATATAGCCATTAGCTGTAGAGGTGGATTCGCCACCCAGACAAAAGCCGGATTACCTATAAACTAAAAATTTATTAAAAATCATGAGATTAATGACAATAAAATGTTTATAATTTAAAATTTTCACAAAAATAAATTATAAAATGGCTATCTTCAATTGTTTCAAAACTAAAAAATTAATTTGTTTAATTTTTTTAATAAACGAATTAATTAAATGAAAAAATGAAAAATTTGTAAAAACAGATCCATGACATATTTATTATCTCAGAAGATATCGCATTGGTTGAATCCTCGGAGGACACTCTCTATGTTATTATCATATTTGTAATAAACCGTAATAAATACTTTACAAAAATTAAAAATTAAATTCCCAGGGTTTTGTCTAAAATAGGTACAAAATAAATACACAATTAATCATAATTATAAATGATAAGTGCAAATCTTAACAAAAATAACAAAATCTAATACATACCCCGGTGAAGTAGAGCATAGTACAACTAATAATACACGAATAAAAGTAAAGTTAGCAAAATATTTTGTATGGTATAATTAAATACAAAACAAATTTAATAAAAACAAATTATTGAAAATAAAAGTTATAAAACACAATATTTAATTCAAATTAAAATTAAAAAATAATTTAAGGAATAAAATAATAAACACATCAATACTCAGAAGAAACATAGCACTAATTTTGAAAACGGTACCATCGAACAGCACTAATTCAGCACTAAATTTTGGTGCTATAACGGATGTTGGTGCTGAAGGTGCACCCGCTGGAACGAAATGTGGAAAATCGCATAACTCTTAGGAAAACATAGCACTAATTTTGAAAACGGTACCATCGAATAGCACTAATTCAGCACTAAAATTTGGTGCTATAGCGGATTTTGGTGCTGGTGTTGAACCCACTACGTGAAGTTAGCGGAGAAAGGTAAGCCCCCCTGTAACTTTTTACTGGGTATAGCACTAATTTTTAAAACGCAACGGTTGTATAGCACTAATTGAGCACTAAATAGTGGTGGTATAGCGGAAATTAGTGCTCACATTTTTCCGCTAACTTCACGGACCTCCACAAACGGACCAATATGTCCGTTCATTGGGTCTGTAGCCCTGGCTAAAGAAAATGGGAAAATGTACACACATTCAATGGGCCAACTCTGGCTCGAGTAATGTACTACGGTAGTGACCGCTCCGTTTTTTTTTTAAGGCTCTGTCAAACAGAACTCGTTAAAACACGCGATAGAGCGGGAGATGGCTCATCGGGGTGATGGTTAGGCTAGGTTAGGTTAGGTTAGGTTAGGTTAGGTTAGGTTAGGTTAGGTTCCCCCCCAACGAGGCCCACCTTGTCGTGGTGGGGGGGCTCGAGGACCAGAAATGGTTCTCGCTAAGAGGTCTCAAAAAAATGATGGCACAAAACAAAAGGAAATGTACCCCTGCAGTAGGCCCCCACGGATTCGGGGGGGGGGCGGCCATCCGGAGCAAACGACTGGAAACTTGGAACCCGGAAAAGTTGATGATGAAGATACGAATAAACTCGATGTTGCAGTGCTGGAAAAAGAGATGAATGATGCAGACGATATAACTCTTAGCGGTTGGACTTGGGAAGTCTGGACAGGCATAGATGATGACTTGAATAAGATGGACGTGTTGGTCAGCAGACTTTATGCGTTCACTTCACAAACAAGGAATGTCCACAAAGAAGTAAAGGCGATGAGTTCCGAACTCATAGACCTGATGAAGAATGCAAAAAGGCGCAGTCAAGAACTAGGTATTATTGCGGATAAAACGTATGAGAGAGTGAAAGACCTAACTATACAGAATACGAGCTTGAATGCCACAATAGCCACATCGGAAGAAAAAGTCGTTGAAAAGACGATACAGGAGGAAAGAGGAAATGTCCCCGAGAGGAAGAAGAAGAAATCAAAGATGAAACCGGGGAACAAAAAGACCCATGTTGCCCCTTCCCAAGGCGTCACTATATCAAAGGGCAAAGGAGCAAGCACCTATGCCAATATGGTTAAAAAATTGAAGGATGAAATCGACCTGGAAACAATAGGAGTGGAGATTAAATCAATGAAGAGGACCAAGGAAGACGGAATTTTCATGTTTGTCGGCAAAGGGACCAAGGCAGCAGAAGATGTTAAAAAGCTGAAACGAGAAGTTGAGAATGTTCTCGGTGGTGATGTGGTAGTGAAGGAGTCCAGCAGGCCGCCTCTCATCGAGATCCGCGGCATTGGTCAAGAAGAAAAAGAAGAAGATGTCGTCTCAGGAATTTGCCGATACGGGGCAATTCCCGAAGAAGTTCACGTGACAAAAATGGTACCCTCGTTCGGAGCAACGCAGAGGGCACTCGTCTCAGTCTCAGCCGAGATAGCGGGCAAAATCATTGCCACTGGTCGAGTTTTAGTCGGACTGATCTCGTGTGGAGTTCGTATGAAAGGAAACCCAGTAATAAGATGCTACAGATGCCATGGCTACAATCACAAGGCATCCACATGCAGAGGCCCCGACAGGAGGAAATTGTGCATGACGTGCGGTGGGGAAGACCACCTTGCGAAGCTGTGTCGGAGTGCACCCAATTGTGTCCTATGCAAGGATATAAATCGACAGGCAGACCACTACCCAGGAAGCGGTAGATGTGAGGCTTACAGGAAGGCAAGACTTAAATAACTTTAGTTAAGTTTATTTGTTGTGGGCTGAAACGGCCGATCAGGGTGGTTAGAGGCCCCCAGGTATTGTAATTTTAAAATATTGTTATATTTGTTGTGAAATATTTATTGAAATAAATGATGTGGTCAGGGAGGCAGTAATGGGGAAACCTTTTTCCCTCCCTGGCTGCGATTCAATCGAAAAAAAAAAAAAAAAAAAAGGTTAGGTTAGGTTAGGTTAGGTTAGGTTAGGTTAGGTTAAGGACCAACGGCCGCCATCTGCCAAAAAGGATGCCGCTACCGCCACCGAGCCCGACGTTCCCAAACCGATCAACGCGCCTAGCAAAGGCAACAGACAGCGGCAGAGGAAAAAGCTTACCAAATCAAAGCTCGATGTCAGGACCCCTAATCGCAACGCCACACTTCAGGAAACGCACAACCCGACCATCGAACCGTCCGCGCCGCCCTCAGCCGACAAGGAAGAAGAAAAAGACGAGCCCTTCACGCTCGTAGCGAGACCCGCCAGGAAGTCAAACGCCCCCACAACTCGACCCTCCAGACCGGCCCGCCTTCGACCAGCCGCCGTGCTCGTCAAGGTCCCTGAAGGCAAGTCCTATGCAGACACCCTGCGCCAAGTTAGGGGCACCGAAATAGACTTCGAAGGACTCGGAACCCACGTGACTTCAATGAGGAGAACGCTCAAAGGCGACCTGCTCGTCGAGCTGACCAAGGGCGCAAAGGCCACTGCTGCCACCTCAGCCATCCGCGACAAGCTCGCCGAAAACATGGCAGGAGCCGTGGTCACCAGGCTCCGGCACACCGCCGAAATCGAAATAACCGACCTCGACGAGGTCACCACCAGAGAAGAGGTCCTCGCCGCGATTCTGAAGAGCGCGCCGGACGGCCAACCCCTCTCTGAAGATGAGGTCAAGATAACCGGCCTGTGGGCCACGCGGGATAGCCGCCAAATGGCCACCGCAACAGTGCCCATCGCCATCGGTCGGAGTCTGACATCCGTCCGCGTCGGCTGGACTCAGTGCCGGGTCCGCCCGCGCAGACCGGAGCCGGCGAAGTGCTACCGCTGCCACGGCTACGGACACGCCACGCGGCAGTGCACCGGCAACGACCTCTCTCACGCCTGCAGAAGATGCGGACAGAACGGACACACCGAGGCCACATGCACTGAGGGTGCGGACCTGTGCGTCGCCTGCGACCGCATCAAGGCCCCACGCGTGCCTCACAAGCCCGGCTCCGGGGCTTGCGCCGCCCGAAGGAAAGCCATCTCAGAGATGAACGCCACTAACCGAACATGATCACGTTTCTTCAGATAAATCTCCACCGGAGCGCCACTGCCCAGAGCCTGGCCCAACAGACCTCTGCCTCCATCGGCGCTCAGGTGCTACTCCTATCGGAGCAGAACTGGAGTCCAGCTCGGGATGACCGATGGACAGTCAGCACCGACGGAACCTGCGCAGTCGTCTTAACGCCTACCGCCGAATTCGTTGCAGACACCTCAGGCTCGGGCCGCGGATTTGCCTGGATCCAGACGCGCAACGTCAGAACTTATAGCTGCTATTCCTCCAGAAACGACTCCATCGAAAATTACACGGCCTTCCTCGGCGACCTCGAGCAGTCAATTCGGTCCGCAGACCCCGACTGCACTCTCGTCATTGGAGGCGACTTTAACGCCTGGTCCCACAGTTGGGGGTCAACACGGAACGACCAGAGAGGCGATCAACTATCAGATCTTGCTGCGAGTCTCGACCTCCTCGTTGGTAACAATGGCTACGTCCCCACGTACGTTAGGTCGAACGCGCAGTCCATCATAGATGTCACTTTTCTCCGCCCTCGATCTTCCCTCTCCCTTGCAGACTGGAGGGTCTTGGACGAGGTTGAATCGGCGAGTGACCATAGTTACATAAAATTCCGGTTACAAGAGGCTCAGGAACGGCACGATCCTGCCGAACGACTCAGAGGGTGGTCCTACAGACGCCTGGACACGGTAGCCCTGACCGCTCATCTGGCCGCCTTCCCAACCCCTCACACCGATGCAACTACAACAGCCGACGACGCGGCTGACCAGCTGGTCGCGTATCTCTCTGCAGCCTGCGACTCCTGTATGCCGCCCAGAGCTCCTCCTCCTGCAGGCAGGAAGCAGGTGCACTGGTGGAACGAAACCATTGCAGCGTTACGCGCCGAGCACAGTAGGTCACGCAGATGCTACCACAGGGCAGCCCGAAGACGCGAGCCCACTGAACAGCTGCAACTTCTCCGCGAAGTATACAAAACCAAGAGGAAGGAGCTCCAAACATCAATCAGAACCGCTCAGGCCAAGAGTTGGTCCGATCTCTGCGCTGCCGTCGATTCTGACCCTTGGGGACTTCCTTACAGAGTCGTTACAAAGCGGATAGGCCGCAATCGACCGGGAACCGAATCGCGAGGTAGAGAATTGACAATAGCCGATCACCTCTTCCCAAATCACCCACTCACCGACTGGCATCACACCCCGCTCCCTCCGGAGGATCCTGAGAATGACGAACAAGTTACTGGGCCTTTCACTATGCCTGAACTGCAACTATCCTGCAAGAGACTTCCTCCCGGTAAGGCAACCGGACCAGACGGCATCCCAAACGAAGTCCTCGCCAAAATAGCAGCTCTCAAGCCTCGCGTTCTTCTCGACGCCTTCAACACCTGCCTGGAGAAAACCACCTTTCCTACCAAATGGAAGCAGGCAAGGTTAGTACTCCTACACAAAGGACCTGGAAAACCAACGACAGAACCAACCAGCTACAGGCCACTCTGCATGTTAGACTCGGCTGGCAAGCTGCTGGAGAGGCTGCTGCTGTCAAGGCTCGACCAGCACCTCGACCGCACGGGCCGCCGATCCCCAAATCAGTGCGGCTTTCGGTCCGGCAGGTCAACGGAAGACGCCATAGAGTGGCTACTCGAGACGGCCCACGGTGCAGCCTTGGGAGCCGTCCAGCACCGGGATATCTGCGTTGCCGTCTCGCTGGATGTAAGGAACGCCTTTAACTCGGCTCCGTGGCCTATGATTGACGCCGCGCTCCGGGGAAAACTGGTTCCCCCTCGACTAATCTCGATGATCAGATCATACCTCAAGGACCGCTCTATCCTAGTCGGCGAACTTCTGCTCCGGAGAGACATGACGTGTGGCGTCCCCCAGGGCTCAGTCTTAGGGCCGGCTCTCTGGAACGTGTTCTACGAGGCACTTCTAGACCTGGAAATGCCCCAAGGCGTCCAACTCGTCGCCTTCGCTGACGACGTCTGCGTCCTGGGGATCGCGAGGACCGGCCAGGCAGCAACAACCCTGATGAACCCAGTCCTAGAAACGGTGTCAATCTGGATGAGGCAAAACGGGCTAACACTCGCTCCTCAGAAATCCGAAGCAGTGGTTCTTACTTGCAAGCACAAATACACAGATCCAGAACTGTTCGTCAACGGACACGCGATACCTGTGAAGCGGTCCATGCGTTACCTCGGCGTGCAACTGGATTCGCGGCTATCGTTCACGGAACATATCCAGCAAGCCTCCCAGAGAGCCACTGAGTCAGCGCTGGCAATAGGCAGGCTGATGCCAAACCTGGGCGGACCTTCGCAGAGCAAAAGGTCACTGATCGCCACAGTTGTCAACAGCAAGATGCTGTACGCGTCCCCGATGTGGGCCTCTCGGGGCACCAAGACGGCGAAAAACAGGGCCGAAATGGCGAGGGCCCAAAGGAAAATAGCTCTTCGGATCACCAGATGCTACCGGACCGTCTCTGCGGACGCCTCCTCGCTGCTGTCGTCGATGATCCCAGCCGACCTGCTGGCAAACGAGAGGGCAAGAATTCGTCTTCGGCTCAACGACCAAGATGACGCCACCGCCACTCCTACGATTAGGAAGCAGGAGAGGGAAATCTCCTCACGCGCGTGGCAGTCCAGATGGGACCGCTCCCCAAACGGCAGGTGGACGCACAGGCTACTCCCCGACGTAGGTCGCTGGCTGTCGAGGCCACCCCTTGGTCTATCGTACCACCTGTCTCAGGCCCTGTCCGGACACGGATGTTTCAGGAAATATCTGCACGACAGGGACCGGGCCGCAGACAGCTACTGCACGTACTGTATGTACCCAGAGGACACGGCAGAGCACACGCTCTTCGCGTGCCCTAGGTGGGAGGACGAACGCGCTGTCTTGACCAGGATCCTCCGACGCCCACCAGAGCCCGGGGACGTCGAGGACATCCTATGCGGTCCTCCAACCGACTTACTACCAGACGATGCAGTTTGCAGATCCAGACTCCTGGCGCAAGCGCAAACGAACCGACTGCAGCTCGTAGAAATGTTCGACTCAATCCTCGGAACGAAGGAAGAGGATGAGCGAGAGGAGCAGAACTATGGCTAGTCGCCAGATGGGACAAACGATGAAGAACGGTCAGCTTCACCCCGCAATTCGCTTGCGAAACGTCGGAGGTGTCACCGACCACGTTCTTCATCCCCCCCACCTGTGACACCACGGGAGGGACGACGATCACGGCATCGTAGGACGTACGAGACTCCAGAGCGGCGGACTCCGGTCGGCTCGCCAAGACGGGCACGCACGGGAAATCAAGGGCGGCGGACTCCGGTCGGCCCGCCAAAAGGTGAACGTTTCAACAATTGCTGAAAAAAATGTAAAATGTTTAATATGTTATGTTATATGTCATGTATAGAGGGGGGGTAAGTCGGGGAACTGTCCTGTCTACCCCCCACGTATGTATAGATATTATTTGTGTTTATATCCAAATAAACGATGGCGGCGTCGCGGAAGAATGCGAAAGCAGTTCCCGCGGCGTCGTCGGTTGAAAACTGAAAAAAAAAAAAAAAAAAAAAAAAAAAAAGGTTAGGTTAGGTTAGGCGCACGCTCGTAGTGACCTGTGCCAAGACGGTCAACGAGCTGGAGGAGTTGACCAACAGTGCGCTATCACTGGTGGAAGAGCGCATCGCTAACCTTGGCCTCCAGATCGCTGCCGAGAAAACGGAAGCGGTCATGTTTACTTACAAATACAAGTACACAGAACCCGAGATCAGACTGTGCGGAAGTCGCGTCCCGCTGAAAACTGAGATGTCATACCTCGGGATTGTAGTGGACAGGACACTATTGTTCAAGGGCCAGATCAAGGCAAGCGACTCGCCAGGATAATGCCGAATGTTGGAGGGCCGCGCGAAGACAGGCGGCGTCTTCTATCCGCAGTAGTGCACTCCGTGCTACTATGCGGCGCCCCCGCTTGGGAGCACACAATGGACATCGTACCAGGTAACGTACGTCTCCTCAACAGGGCACAGCGCAGAGTGTTGCTCCGGAGCATCTGCGCCTACCGCACAGTCTCCGAGTTGGCGGTCAACACAATCGCAGCGACCCCTCCGGCGGACCTTCTCGCCAAGGAAAGGGAGAAAACGTTCGTGATTAGGCAAGCGGCTATAACCGCCGCGACCACCGGGGTGGAACCCAAAAACGTCACCCTCGACAAGTGGCAGGAGAGATGGTCTTCCGGAGAGACTGGCGGCTGGACCAGACGACTGATCCCAGACGTCCGCAGCTGGTGCAACAGGAGACACGGTCGGACCAACTTCCACCTCACCCAATTCCTATCAGGGCACGGGTGCTTTGGTCAATACCTCCACCGGATCCGAAAGGTCGCCGACCCCATGTGCGTCGACTGCCAAGCGCCCGTGGATGACGCGGAGCACGCGTTCTTCATGTGCGACCGCTGGTGGCGGCAGAGAAGTGATCTCGAGAGGAACATTCGGAGGAAGTTCACCCCAGAGTCAGCGGTAAGAAGCATGCTGGAATCATCCACCAACTGGTCAGCCGTCGACTCATATGTCAACCTCGTTTTGGCAGCCAGAGAAGAAGAGGAAAGAGAGCGCCAACGAAGATAAACAACGGTTAGTTAAGTCGCTTATCGATGTGGGCTGAAGGCCGTTGTTTTTGATGGTGTAGGGCCATCACTTTGTACATTATAATCACATTGTAATAATTTTGTATTTGTGTTAAATAAACGATGCAGGGGAGCTGGCGAATTGCCTCACCAGGTATTTCCGGCCCCCTGCGATACCGTAATAAAAAAAAAAAAAAAAAAAAAAAAAAAAAAAAAAAAAAGGTTAGGTTAGGCGACGTCCCCCCCCGACGGGACCCACCTTGACGTGGTGGGGGGGCTTACCGACTTCGGTCGGTGCCAAGAGGTACCCAACTCCCCGGCTCCGACTTTAACTAGTCGGAGTCGGAGCCTCCAGAGCCGCCTCTGACCTTAACTGGTTGGGGGTGGTAGGTATGGCAACCACCTGCTTACGCTAGCAAACGGTCCCAGAAGGAAGCTGCAAATCCCCCTGGCGGTAGGGCTAAAACGCTGGTTAGAATTTTCCACAAAAATCAAACATGGATAAAAACGCCAAGACTGTACCCCTGACCAAGGGCCCCACGGATTCTGGGGGGGGCCCCGTCCATAACTGGCAAAAAGACTGGAAAACTGGAACCCGGAATGAAGACTGATTATGAAGATACGTGTTTTGAAAAACCCGAAGAGGATATAACAAATGAAGATCTCTCCTGCTGGCTATTTGAGTACTGGGGTAACCTGGACTCAAGCGTCGGAAAACTCGCAACTGTGGTGGAAAAGATGTACACCTTTTCCCTGGCAACGAAAAACTTACACAAGGAGATGAAAGGCTGGTGCATTGAGTTGCACAAACAAATGGGAATAGTTCAAAAAAGAAGCGAAGCACTGAAGTCCTTTGTCGACAAATCATCGGACAGAATTGAAGATTTGTCTTCTAGCCTCCTAGAAGTCAGCACTACGCATAGCCTAAGGGCAGTGTCAACAGTTGACATAGGAGTCGGCACGGAAACTGAGGCTATTCTGAAACCAAGAAGTAGCGATGAACAGGATACTGGACAACAGACCAGCAGCAAAACCGGCACGAACCAAGGGCATGGCAGACAACGCCGCCACTTGAAGACAACAAATGAGAAGAAGAAGAAGACAAAAATTAAAGACCACCGACGATCCAAAAAATATAAGATCAGAAACCAAGAGTGGAAACCAGAAAGAAGAAAAAAGAACGTCCAAAGGAAAAAAGAAGACTGAAACCATACTCATCAAATCCTCCGGAGTTTCTACCTACGCTGACATCACGAGGAAATTAAGGGAAACATTGACGTCAACACACTCAAAGTTGACATTAAAACGATGAAAAAAACGGAAAGAGGGGACCTCTATTGCAAATAGATAGAGGCCCGAAGCAAGCGGAAGCAGCAGAGAGACTAAAAACCGCGATAGTCGAGGTCCTGGGCGAAGAAGCAGTAGTCGAATACAAGCCGAAATCCGCCACGGTCGAGATAAAAGACCTAGAGCCGGAAACCTCAGAAGATGAAGTAAAAAACGCGGTCGTCAAAGCGACAGACGTTGCCCCAAACTCCATCAAGCTACTTCCTTCATTCGGGGGTACCAAGATGGCTGTGGTAAGGCTGAGAGACAGAGAAGCAATTGAACTTGGAAGAATTGGAAGACTAACAGTAGGCCTGGTGCGGTGCCGAGTGAAACTTAGGCAACAAATAGTAAGGTGCTTTAGATGTCACGATTTTGGACACATCAGGGCGAAGTGTTCAGGAGCGGACCGGTCAAACCTCTGCATGACATGTGGGGACGGCGACCATGAGGCGAAGAGCTGCAGCAGCCCACCCAGATGCGTCCTCTGCAAGGACAACGGTCACGATGGTTCACACTATCCTGGCAGCGGGAGATGGAAAGGAGCACAAGAGGCGAAGAAGAAAACTTAGTTAAGTCTTGTAAAATTGCAAGCCAAACGGCTAAAAATTTTCAGGGTGGTTAGAGGCCCCCAAATTCGCATTGTAAAAATAATTAATGTAATATTATAAATATGTAACTCCAAATGAAATTTTGTGTAACAAATAAATGATGGGGCATGGGGGTGAAATGACTAACGTCGGTTCCACCCCATGTCCCGATTCCATGTAAAAAAAAAAAAGGTTAGGCGACGTGCCTAAAAGGACCGCAGAGGAAACAGAGGAAACAGACGTTTGCTGAAGCTGCTCAGAAAAAGGATATACTGCCGCAGCAGGGCCAACCACAGGACGAGCCATCATGCAGCAGCCATGCCCCAAACGGAAACCCTCCAGCCAGCGAGTGGAAAACGGTGAGAAATTCCCGGAAAAACAACAGAAGGCCCTCGGAGGAAAAAAAGGAAACAAAAAACAAAAAGCGGCAAAAACCTCCAGCACCAGATGCCATAGCAGTCAAGCCGAGCGAAGGCGAATCGGCAGCCGAAATACTTAAGTCAATAAAACAGAACGTAGAGATAGACAAAATAGGCGCGCTGGTGTCTACCATAACTGAAAGCAGAACTGGGGAGATCATAATCAGACTAACGTCTAAAGACACAAAGAGGAGTGCACACGAAGAGGAGCTGAGGAACAAACTTGGCACACGGGCAGCAGTGCGCGGGCTCATAAAACTCGAGGATGTAGAGATACAAGACCTGGACCTCGTCACAACAGCCACGGAAGTCGAAGCATGCATCTGCAATGCGGTGGGCGCACACGCAGAAGACCAGTACGTAAAAGTCAAGAGTATCAGACAATCCTTCATGGGGACCCAAAAAGCCACAGTGAAAATGAAGAGCACAGACGCCCGCAAACTAACAGAAGTAAGGCGAATCAAAATAGGATGGGTCTACGCCAGAGTGAAGATTAAAATAAGGGCCACCAAGTGCTTCAGATGCCTCGGATATGGACACCGCAAACAATTCTGCACTGGAACAGACCGCTCTGAAGAATGCTCCCTCTGCACGGGCAAAGGGAACACGGCATCCACATGCACATCCCCACCCAATTGCGGGGCATGCAAGGACATAAACGAGCAAACGGAACACTACCCAGTGGGAAGTGTACGGCATACCAGAGAGCGATGGATCCGAGAAAGCCGAATCCACGCGCAAACGAGCGGAGAGGGTCACACGCTGACAGTGTCACCCAAACGCAAATCAAAAATGTTTAAATATCTGCAGATAAACAAGAACTGCTGCAAAGCAGCTCAGGCTCTGCTACACCAAGTAGCAGCAGAAGAGGCAGTAGACTTCATACTGACCAGTGAATTCCACAGAGAAGAGGGGCCAAGCTGGTACGCAGACGCATCGGGCAAGGCAGCCATAGTGAACAGAAACAAAATGAGATTAGACAAGGAAGGACTTGGAGAGGCAGGATTCAGGTGGGTTACAGTACAGGGAACAAGACTGTACTCATGTTACTGGTCACCCAACTCCACCATCCAAGACTACAAAGACTTTGTAACCAGACTAGAGAGGTCAATAAGAAGCGAGACAACAGAGGTGATCCTCACAGGTGACTTTAATGCAAAGCACACGGAGTGGGGCTGCCCAAAGAATGACAAAAGAGGAGACGTACTGATGGACATGATAAACTCCTTCGGCCTGGTGATCTGCAACAAAGGGAAACAAAGCACGTTCAACAAAGGAACAATTATTGACCTGACAATAGCGACCCCCCGCACAGCCTAGAACATGTCGAAGTGGATGGTCCTGGACAGGGAGACACTGATCGACCACTACTACATCTTGTTCGAGACCACCCTCGCACCGCCTAGCGGGGAACAGCAAAGAGTCCACAAGATCGACGTAAACAAGCTAGAAGCACTACTAAAATCAGATCACCTCGACCGCACCGTACAAAGTTTCCCAGACGCAGACCAGTGCGCGCTGGCACTCACGGAAGCAATAAACGAATGCCGCCCGACAGGTCAAAGCGGAAGGAAGGCTAGGAAATCGGTACACTGGTGGAGTCCCGAAATAAACTCGCTCCGGAACGCTGCAAACCATCTACGAAGAGTCTTCCAGCGAAAGAGGAAAAAACATGGCCCAGCACGCAGCACAGAGGAGGAAAAGAATGCCAAAGCAGCCAGACGAGAACTTGCGAACGCAATTAAGAGGGCAAAGGAGTCGGCATGGAGAGATCTGTGCGACCTAGTACAGAAGGACACGTGGGGACTCCCGTACAAGCTGGTCATGGACAAACTCACCAGACCACCCCCCATCCCAGAGCTCGACACCCCTGGCAGGTTGCGACACATCGTAGAAGGGCTGTTCCCGCAACACCCGAAAAGGGAGAAGATCAAGTGGCCAATGAATTTGGACTGTTATCCGAACTGGGAGGTCGACGAAACCGAACTGAAGAACGCAGCGAGAAGCCTCAAATCAAAAATTGCCCCGGGACCAGACGGGATCACAAACAAAATTGTCAAGAGCATAGTGACGCTGAGCCCACCTACACTCATTAAGGTCTACAACACCTGCCTGGAGAACGGAACATTCCCGAAGACGTGGAAGAACGCCAGACTGGTCCTTATCCGAAAAGGCGATAAGCCACTCGACACACCGTCCTCATACAGGCCACTATGCCTCCTCGACTGTCTCGGAAAGCTATTTGAAAAAATAGTAGACAATCGTCTGAGAAATTTCCTGGACACCAACGACGGGCTTCACGAAAGACAATTTGGCTTTCGAAAAGGACGCTCCACCATCGACGCTCTAGAAACACTAAAAAACTAAATTACGCCAAACCAAAAAATTGGCATTCTAACACTTGACATAAAAAACGCTTTCAACTCCGCCCCCTGGGAGGCAATAACAGAAGCCCTCCACGAGAAGGAAGTCCCTGGATACATCCAGCGGATAGTAAGTAGTTACCTAGAAAACCGCACACTCAGCTTCGGAGAAGGCGATAACGAGAAAAAAATCAACGTCACATGCGGAGTACCACAAGGGTCAGTCATCGGTCCTACCCTGTGGAACGTTCTATACGACGGACTACTGCGAACTCGACTGCCAGCGGGAGTAGAATACCTGGC